TCTCTCTCTCTCTCTCTCTCTCTCTCTCTCTCTCTCTCTCTCTCTCTCACCCCCAACTCTTGGACAGACACGTGATTTCGTTTCCCCTGGATGGACCATGCAGAAAGCCCCGCGATGCTGCTGAGGGCGTCGTCGTCCGTATCAGTCACGGTCTGGTCGCCTTCTCGCCTGGCCTGCGCGGCCGCCGCCTCCGCCGCCTCCTGCTCCTTCGTGGCCCTGGGAGGCTTCCTCCTGAGATGTCGGCGGTACGGCGAGGTACGTGTCACGCCAGAGGTGTAAAAGAGATGGGTACGGTAGTAGAGTATGCCGGAAGCGGGAGGCCCATGGTCTTGTGTGATGTGGGCACGCGAAGACTAAGGCTAGAGGAGGAAAGGTGGGGGAGAAAGACATTTACGTTAGAGCCAACGCTCCTGTGTGACCCCGGCCGATACGCCAAACATATACGAAGTACATCGAAATGCGTGTGGACTGGCGCCAGAACGGTTGTGATGAACACGCCCTCACGCTTGTTGTCTGTGCGGGAGAAAATCGTGGGTGTGCGCAACCTGCAAGAGCTAATGTGTCGTCTGCTTCGACCATATTAACGCAACAAACACAGAAGCACCCAAGACAGGAGGAGAAGCACAAGATACACGTTAAAATATATCGAAACGTAAAATCGAACGAGGCCAGCACTAGGAGTAAGGTTGACGGCGCACAAGCACTCGCATCCGCGTACAATATACTCGCAGGACGCTGATCGCAATCCGCCACAAAAGACACGGGGTTTCGCCACACCTGGGTGGAATGTACGCCAGCGTGAGGGTGACGACGCCAGCCGCCGCGTTCTTTTTCTTCCGTGCCCTCTGGTCGCCAGGCACGAGAGCCACTGTTACTACCACCCCTCCGTCACTCCCCCCTTCGTCATCTGTGTAGTTGTCGTTCCGCTCGTCGCCATCGCCCCCGCGATTCCGGCGTTTCCCGACCCCGGCAGAGGCCCTGCCGCCGCCTTTGCTTCCAGTCGTGTGGGATGGAGCGGCGGGAGCGGCGGAGGCAAGGTGCTTGACGGGGAGGGACCCTTTTCCGATAAGGACGTCGGGACTTGGTTTCTTGTCGCCGGCGTTGTCGTTCCACACCTGCAGAGAGTCGGTCGTGTTTTATCCGGAGATATTTACGGGGACCTCCTCCTACCATGAGGTGTATGAATCCGCTGCCGTTTGTTAGCTGTTGGTGTTGTCGTTCGCTCTTTACGGATTCGCGACATGAAGTTGGGTGTCATTTCTTCGGCGAATGCCGATACTGCCTCCTACTGAGAAGTACTTACGAAACCACCGTCGTCGTTGTTGTTGCTGTTGTCTCTTGTCTGTGCGGATTGAATCATGGGCGCAAGTATCGGACCAGGTAGGGCCTCCCGTGCCTGCCTGCGGTCCGTACATACGGCGGCCTTGCGGCAATCTCTCCGACCATCGGCCTTGAGCAGTGATGTCTCAAGATTCACCGAACGCAAAGTATTCATTACTGAAGTTCACCGAGCATGCGGGAATAACTCAGGCATCAAGC